AAGTTGTTACAACCTCCTACTATTCTCCCTCTCTTGTACACTATTTATAGCTCATTATTTTACATCAATAAAGTACAGTTTATAATCTTTACATGGTATCAAGAGCCTTGAATCTCCCACGAAGTTTTTTTCTCTACCCACATGGCTTCCACTACTACAACCACAAACGATATAATCCAACTAAATGCCCCTACAAACTTTCCCATTAAACCCAATACCACGAATTTCCCAGTGTGGAGACGTCAAGTCCACTCTACACTTATTGGGTTTAATCTTCTGGGTTACATCGATGGTACCACCACGGAACCCGCCAAATTCACTGATACTGCTCAAACTGCCGTTAACCCGGCCCATCTAATTTGGTATCGTCAAGACCAAATCATTGTTAGTGCACTTCTCGGTAGTTGTACTGACACCATACAGCCCCTCATCTCCTTGGCTACGACAGCCCACGATGCGTGGCAACGTCTGATTGCTAGTTACGCCAGTGCCTCTCGAGGACGTATCATATCCCTCAAGGCCAAGATCACGAAAAATCCGAGAGGGTCTCGGTCCATTACGTCTTACCTCAATGACATGCGAGCCTTAGCTGATGATCTTGCGCTGGCTCAGTGTCCAGTTTCGGATGAAGATCTAATTGTTTATATATTAACTCAGTTATGGGAGGAGTACAACTCTATTATATCTGCCGTCCGTGTTCGTGAAAAGCCAATTTCCTTTAGTGAATTGGCGGACATGCTGACTGACCATGAACGTCAGCTGAAGGCAGCGGATGAGACGCGGCAATCGGTACTAGTTACTGCCAATATGACTCACCGTGCTTCGCCACCCCCATGGTCTAACCAGCAGTCAGCTTCCAACCGGAGGGCCCGTAATAATGTCTATAATAATGGCGCCCACCGACAAAATTGGCAACAAGGGGGTAACAATCGCTCCAGTATTATTTGTAAGTTTTTTCATCTTACAGGTCACGAAACCAAGGTATGTCGCAAGCTAGCTAGATTTCTTAAAGAGCATAATGTTGTCCCTATGCAACCGTATATGTCTCCTACAGCTAATGTTGTGACTGGGGCGTCTCCTCCCTGGATGTTTGATAGTGGGGCGTCGCACCATGTGACATAGTGGATTGGATGAACTACGCCTGGGTGACGGTAATTCCTTACAAATATCCCACATTGGCCAGTCTGTCATTCCCACCCCTTCTAATGTTCTTACTTTAAATAATGTCTTGCGTCTCCCACAGTTACACACTAATTTAGTTTCTGTTTCCCAGTTATGTAAGACTAATCGTGTGTCTATTGAATTCTTTGATTCTCATTTTTTGGTTAAGGAACTTCGAACGGGGATTCCGCTGCTACGGGGGGCGAACATTAATGGTGTCTATTTTGGACCAGTTGTCTCTCACCCAACAGTTCATGCTACGCAGTTGGGTCGTTTGTCTCAGTGGCACCAACAACTCGGCCACCCGTCGAATAAGGTGTTGCAACGCTGTAATGTTCCAGTTTCCATGTCATCTCTGCGAAATTTTTATTGTTCCCCCTGCAATGTTCATAAAAGTCATAAACTGCCTTTTTCTAAAAATACACTTGTTAGCACTAAACCTTTGCAACTTGTTTATACTGATGTGTGGGGACCTACTGAGTACTCTATTGATGAATTTTGCTATTATGTCATTTTGGTAGACCACTTCTCAAAGTACCCTTAGCTGTATCCCATGAAACGTAAATCGGATGTGTTTCCAATATTCATTCAGTTCAAACAGCTAGTGGAAAAATATTTTAGCCTGTCAATTGTTTCTGTTTACTTAGATAATAGGGGCGAGTTCATGAGACTTGGGCCGTTTTTTAATACTCACGGTATCTCTCATTTCACCACCCCGCCACACACTCCTGAGCTCAATGGTGTCGCCTAGCGACGACACAGGCATGTCGTGGAAACTGGTATGTCTCTTCTTCACTCCGCGTCTTTGCCGTCCTCATACTGGACCTACACCTTTCAGACAGCCGTATATCTTATTAATCGGCTCCCTACTCCGACTTTAGGTAACCAATCCCCATTTTCTGTCTTGTTTCAACAATTGCCTAATTATGCCAAATTACAACCCTTTGGTTGCCTATGTTTTCCCTGGTTGCGTCCCTATAACACCAAGGAACTACAACCAAAGTCACGTCCATGCATTTTCCTTGGCTACTCGAACAGCCAATCCGGTTATAAGTGTCTAGATTTTGGTTCGAATCATATTTATGTATCTAGGCATGTGAGATTTGTGCCCCATGTGTTTCCTTATAACGATTTGCAAAAGTCATCTAACAGCTTACCTTCTGATTCTCATGATTTAGAATCACGCATTATTTTGTGCAAGTCGTCTCCTTTGTCTACACAGGTTGAGCCCGTGGGTGTTCCAACACCAGTCCCAACACCGGTTCCAACTCCATTCCCAACACCAGTTCCAACACCCGTTCCAACACCAGCTCCAACTCTAGCTCAGAGTCCAGTTCCAACACCATCACCGTCAGATACGTCCAATTCGTCGTCTCCCACTGTCTCAGAAAATGGTCAACCTGCAGCCCAATCCATGTCTGATTCATAACCTATCTCCACCTCCGACACGTCTCAACCGTTGCATAATGTTCGCCGTTCCACCCGGGAGCGTCGTCCTAATCCCCGATATTCCGATTATGTCATTAATCAAGCCACTTCCCATCCCTTGCCTCCTACTTTAGAACCTTCTACTGCCGCCCAGGATCTTAAAGATGCTCGGTGGATGAAAGCAATGGATGAGGAGTTCGAAGAGCTGCAACGTAACAACACGTGGCAACTGGTACCCCGTGGCGCAGCTGTTCCGATTGGCTGCAAATGGGTCTTCCGTGTTAAGCGCAAATCAGATGGGTCGGTTGATCGTTTTAAAGCGCGGCTTGTCGCTAAGGGGTTCTTGCAGACTGCTGGATGGGATTATTTTGAGACATATAGTCCGATTATGAAATCGGTCACGATCCGTATTGTTCTAACCATTGCTTTGAGTAATCGCTGGGGTCTGCGCCAGCTAGATATCAATAATGCGTTCCTTAATGGAACATTGCACGAGGAGGTGTTTATGGAGCAGCTTCCCGGGTTTGTTGATCCGTCATTTCCATCTCATGTATGCAAACTGACCAAAGCCTTATATGGTCTTAAACAGGCTCCCAGGGCTTGGTACTTAGAACTTTCCCAGTTCTTGTTGCGTTGTGGGTTTTTGAAGTCACAGGCAGATGCGTCTTTGTTTGTTTATTCTGCTAATGATATTATTGTTTATTTCCTGGTGTATGTCGATGATATTATCCTAACAGGAAACAATGTTGCGTGACTTGACAAGTTTGTTGGGACTCTGTCAGCTCAGTTTGCTCTTAAGGACCTGGGTCCCTTGCATCATTTCTTGGGTATTGAAGTAGTCTCGACTCTTAATGGCATGTTCCTGTCTCAGAGTCAATATATCACAGATCTTCTGGTTCGGTTTAAGATGGATGGTGCAAAGTCTGTTTCGACACCATTGGCTACTACGGGCAAGTTGCTACCTGCGCAGTCTGGTAGTGTTGCGGTGGATGTCACTCAATTTCGGCGTTTCCTTGGTGCATTGCAGTACTTGGTCATCACTAGGCCAGATGTATCCTATGCAGTTAACCGTCTCTCGCAGTTCATGCATTCACCGACAGAGTTGCACTGGCAGGCGGCCAAACGGTTGCTACGTTATCTAAAAGGAACAGTTTGTCATGGGCTGTTTCTCCGCACTGGGCAACCACTGTCACTGAGTGTTTATACAGATGCTGATTGGGGCGGTTGCACTACCGATGGCCGTTCCACCACCGCATACTTGTTGTATCTTGGTGCTAATCTTGTTTCTTGGAAGTCCACCCGCCAGAAGTCCGTGTCACGCTCGTTGACGGAATCTGAATATCGAGCCTTGGCGAATGCTGCTGCAGAGGTCTTGTGGACAAAGAATCTGCTTCACGAGCTGCGGGTGCAACTAGTGAAACCACCAGTTATGTTCTGTGACAACCTTAGTGCGACATATGTGTGCAGAAATCCGGTTTTCCATTCACGTATGATGCATCTGGCGCTGGACTACTTCTTTGTTCGTGACTTAGTCTCTAATGGTTCACTGGTAGTGCGGCACATTCCTTCGTCGGCTCAGCTAGCTGACTTCCTCACAAAGCCGTTGGGCCGCTCTTTGTTTCTTCTATTCCGTTCCAAGATTGGAGTCTTCGACAGATCCTCAATCTTGCGGGGGCGTGTTAAGGATATGTGTGGTTGACATTTTATCTCTTTATATTTGTGGTAGTTATGTTCCTGTAGAATAGGTGTGTTGAACAAGTTGTTACAACCTCCTACTATTCTCCCTCTCTTGTACACTATTTATAGCTCATTATTTTACATCAATAAAGTACAGTTTATAATCTTTACACAATGCATCAATGTATTGTAACTCCAGGTATCAGGAAGAATACCAACCTCAAGCATTTCTTCCAACAGATCAAGGCATCTAGATAACATGCCATGCCTGGTATCACTGGATATCAAAGAGTTATAGGTAATAACATCTGGCTTAATCCCAACTTCTTTCATTCTATGAATAGAATAACCTGCATCAATGCCTACAAAACAACAATATGTTGTAATCAGCGTATTGTAAGTCACTACATCTACTGGCACTCCTACTCTTATACCATCAATTATCACTGTCTCCGCTTTCTCCAGTTGTTTGGCTTTACAAAGACATGCTACAGTTATGTTCAATAGCTTAGTTGATAACCTACTTTTAATTCTGAACATCTATTCCAAATATTAGTCGCCCAATCTGTAACCAAAATCAATTGGAAAACTAATCAAAATCCCGACCCTTCCTTAGGCTCAACCACAGCCTCGGAGTGACTATGCAAAGCTGCGACCGCCGGGAGAACCTCCATTGACATTGACTGCATCGCGGCTTGAGAGTTTGCAACGGGTGGGCGATCAATAAATTGGCGATGGCGATGGCGATCAACATCCCTAGCACCCTTGACTCCAACGGTGGATTCCAATTGCCCATGCAATGCCTCGATCAACGGGGGGTGGTTGACGAAATTGGAGTCGCGACGCGATTGGATTACTTCGGTCGCAAAATAGGCGGTTGTTCGCACAAGTCTTTCTTTTCCGGTGACGGGGATAAATGCTTATTATTCTGTTCAGTTACAAGAAACTGGGGGTAACACCCTCCTTTTTCTAAACTCTAGAGCCCATAATTAAACCTTCTAAATAGGATTAATCAAGGAAAGATTAATTAAACATAAACTGAGGGGAAAGTTACCACCACAGTTACCCACTCTTGAGTAACTACACAAGCTAAACAAAATTACTAATACTGGATTCTAAGCTCATAAAACATCAAAAGAGGAAACAAACCCCAATGCCTACGCACCAACAAAAGTATAGTAGTCTAACTACAACCATCAACAAACTAAAAAGGAAAGGGGATACTGATCTAGTATCTACGAAACCTAGAGCTACGCACTACTCTATCGATACGTGCTCTCATCAAGCACTGGGTTCACCTGAAAGGGGTTATAAAACACGTAGGAAAATAAACCCGCTAGCATATAATGCTAAGTACCATGTAACATACTATAGATATAGGTTGGAAAACGTTTTGCATTCATACACATTCTCAAGTATGAACATAAGCAATCAAGACACTCACCCAAAAGATCTCATTTAGATATACTTTATATACTTCTATATGCTCAACAACCTATACTCAAATCAACAGCTAACAACTCATAAATGATGTTCTTGCATATAAGAAGTACTGGAAACTGTGATACAATTCATCTATTAAGTTACTATGCACTTCGTGCAATCATGACCACCCAGATAGACGGGAAACTCCATGGCAGAGCTTCGATTATCCCACGAACACATTACTTCCTCACATGAAAGTCGGAGTGGACAAGAAAACTGGGTGGAGCCGGTTTCTTTCGGCGTGGAAGTCTGCGGATGATCCCGGCAGGGAAGAGTATGTGGTGATATTGGATCTGAAAGGGGTGCTGATCGTTAAGTGGAGCGGTATTCCAGAAATGACTCCAAACATCAACTCCTATAACTACTTCGACAACGACGATGAAGTCACGATGTCGTATTAGACACGGGACCCGTCGATATACACAGTAGTGATGGTAAATGAGTATGGGGTGTTCAGTAAAATCATATGGCAGCAAGGATACGATGGTGTGATGAGATGGGTGGGGATGGTGTGATGAGATGGGCGAGCACTCAAATGGCGGAAGTGAACACAGCCATTGGGTTAAAGGGATGTGAGGAGCACAAAACTTAACGAAATGACCAAAAATACAAATTGGGTGCAATTGAAAGTTGGAATGCAAAATTGAGAATGAGCGATAGTCGAGGGATCATTTTGGGAAAAAACTCTTTTTAAAATAAATATTTTAGTTCAGTTAGTGTTTTTTTTAAAAAAAAAATAAATTAGTTATCGATAGTTTGGTTATAAAGTATTGGTTAACTAAATTAACATATTAATTAAGTGTATAGTTATAATAGTGGATGTCGTATTTGACTTCACCAGTTGATGCTGCTGACAGGGGCGGAGCCACCCCTTGGGGTAAGGGAGCCCTGCCTCCCCACCCCCACCCACTCCCCATTTTTAGTAAATATATAGGTATATATTATTATAATGTAGATAAATTACACTTTTGGCACCCTCCTATTTTTAAAAAAATAAAATAAAATCTATTATGTATATATTAAATGAACTCGAAAGTTACACTTTTTGTCCTTAAGTTATAGGATAATTGTAAAATTCATCCATAATTGTTGGTCGTGTTCACTTTTCGTCCCTAAGCTATAATTGACGTTGCAAATCTCGTCCTTTTAATAACAGGTTGTGGCCACTCTTCCTTTCTAAGCTATACTTCGTTTCTAATGTTTTGTTAGTAAAGGAACAAAATTTGCAATATCAATTACGGAGTATATTTTAGGGACGAAAAGTAAGCACGATTAATAATTATGAATTCTTCAATTACCCTATATAACTTAGTGATTAAAAGTGTAAGTTCTTTTATTTTTTAATATTGTATAATTTTTGTATTATGTAAAAAAGCCAAAAGTACTGTTTGACAATCTTAACGATCGTACTCATATAATTATATATTTCATATATTATTACACATAGTATGATTAAAAATAATTATCAATAATAATTGGCACAATCATATATGGTATATATATATAATAATAATATTGTGTGGTTGGTACTAATATTAACTAAAATGATAAATTTCCTCTATAAATTTGCCCCCCAACCTCAACTTTCTGGCTCCGCCACCGACTGCTGAACCAGGTTCAGTCTGACTGTGCTACCAAGCGTGATCTTACCAACCAATATAGAAATCAGAATTACAATAGTAGTGTTTGGAAAATTCTTCTCAAAATAGCATTGAAGTTCGTAGTTTCCAAAAAGAAAAATGTTTCCTTTTATAGCATTAGCCTTCAACTGCCTTCTCCAAAATAATAGCTATCCACCACCACATGAATTATTAAAACTTCATAGAATAAATCTCCATCACACATAATTCCATAGAAATAGCTTTTCACCGATCTGACATGCTGACTTCCCTTTTGAATCTATGAACTCTAATTTTATCGTTCATTCCATCGAGACTTGTAGAAATCACTCCATAGGATAGGAGATAGTCTAAGGCTTATATTTTGAACAACACCTAATTTAATTGTCACATAAATTGCCCACCAATTATAGGATTAATGTGTATCATTTTGTACACTAACACCTATGTTTAGTAACATTAGTAAAAGGAAATCAGTAAGAAGCTAGCTTGTATAAAGTTCTTTATATATATAAGAGAGCAAATACCAAATTTGGTCCCACGAGTATTAACAAAATGACAATTTTGGTCCATATGTTTAATTTCTATCAATTTTCATTCACAATTATTATTTTAGTACCAATTTTCATCCACGACTATTGCTTTAGTGCCAAAATTTATTACGTCGATCACTCATTCGTTTAAGATATGCCAACAGTGCGCAAGTCTCGGGCCTCAGTTCAAACGCTCATGGATGACCAAGGGGAGTGGCTTACAAACGGGAAGGATTTGCAGAACCACGTGCGCCAGTTTTATTTAACTCTCTTTGCTGCAGATGCGACGGGCTCACCGGCAGCACCCATATTTGCTAATTTCCCCAGGATGATGCCTCTTGACTGGAATATTTTTAACAGGCCCGTTTCTAAAGACGATGTGCACATTGCCCTGAAGGACATGAAACCGTACAAGGCACCGGGACCGGATGGCTTTCAAGCGGGGTTCTATCAGCGTACGTGGGACAAGACAGGGGATGGCATTTTTCAGCTGGTTAGCCAGGCTTTCTCATTAGGCTCTCTACCCGAGGTCTAAATGATACCTTTATTGCCCTTATCCCCAAGGTGGGGGCACCAGAACGCATCAAGCAATTCCGTCCAGTAAGTCTTTGCAATGTCAGTTACAAGATTGTGACCAAGACGATTACTAACAGGCTCAAACATATCTTGCCAAAGATCGTGGGGCCGTTTCAGAGTTCTTTTGTCCCGGGGCGTCAGATAACGGACAATATTCTCATTTTCCAAGAGGTGATGCACACCATGCGGGAAAAAAGATGGGGTAAAGGATACATGGCAATCAAATTAGATTTGGAGAAAGCGTACGATCGGCTTTCCTGGCCCTTTATCCAGGACACCCTTGAACAAGCTGGCTTCACAGGTAGCATCAAAGAGCTCATGATGACGTGCATTAAGACACCAAAGCTGTCGATCATTTGGAATGGGGAACGGTTGCCGCCCTTCCATCCGGAGCGGGGAATTAGGCAAGGCGACTCCATGTCTCCGGCGATCTTTGTTTTATGCATGGAGAGGCTGAGCCAGCTGATTGTCTCGGAAAGGGAACACAAGGCGTGGAAAGGTATTAAATTAGCCATTGATGGGCATATTCTAACTCATCTTTGTTTTGCAGATGATATGATCTTGTTCACGGAGGCAACGCCGGATCAAGTAGACGTGGTAAAAGCATGCTTGGACCGATTTTGCACAGCCTTGGGACAGAAGATTAGTTTGGACAAGTGTCAGGTGTTTTTCTCAAAAAACACGGACCCGACAATGAAGGAGGAAATCTCTCACAGTCTTCGCATAGCCCCCACAACGGACCTGGGCAAATATTTGGGCGTGCCAGCCATCCATGGCCGGGTGACTTGCACGACACACGCGGACCTGCTCAATAGGATATCTAACAGGCTCGAGGGTTGGAAAGCGAAGACTTTATCTCTCGCGGGACGAGTCATGCTCGCGAAATCAGTCTTAAATGCCATCCCGGCATATACTATGCAGACAACGTTACTACCAAAAAGCCTTTGCCTCAAGATTGAAAAACGGACGAGAAAATTTGTATGGGGTAGCAATGGAACAGAAAATAAGATGAGCCTTGCGAATTGGGACTTGGTTACGACAGCAAAGGACGAAGGCAGTTTGGGGCTTAAACGCCTAGGGGAGATGAATATGGCCTACATGGCAAAGCTAGGGTGGCGACTGCTCACGGAAGCTGACGCTCTATGGGCTCGGACAATCAATTCAAAGTATAGGAAATCAGGCGATTTACATGGGGCCCAACAAGGCCGACGTAGGATTTCTAATGCTTGGCGGGTATATCACAAGCCTGGCCAATTATGGAGAAAGGTTTGACATGCACAGTTCGTAGCGGCAATACCACAAAGTTCTGGATGGATAAGTAGCTTAACCCGGAACCTCTATACAACCACCTCCAAGTACAGCTCCCCTTGCCCGAACTCTATGCGACGGTAAGGGAATATTGGGATGAGGCCCCGGGGCTGGAAGTGGGAAGCGTTGGGGAATGCTCTTCTAGTTGACGCGCAGGAAAAGCTTGCTGGATATGTTCTAACTACGAACAGTGTGGAAGACAGAATAGGTTGGGAACTTGACGTTAGCGGAAAGTTCTCGATCCGGTCTATGTATAGCGCCCTCGTGAATGGTTCTAACAGTAGTGAAGATACAGACTGGCACACGATTTGGCGGATACGCGTGCCGGCTAGGCTCTGCATGTTCCTCTGGCTAGTCCGACACGAAAAAATTCTCACGAACGGAGAGCGAGCCAAGCGACATCTAACTACTGATCCTTTCTGTTTTGTTTGTGCAGGTCAGGTGGAGAACTTAGACCACCTCTTCAGAGATTTCCCAGCGGCGAAGGCAGTTTGGGATTCCACGTTACCCAGACGAACTCTCGATCACCTATCTACTTTGACTTGGAGGCAATGGCTCTTAGTGAACATCAAAGGAGAAGCAAGACTAGGATTCAACAACAACTGGCCGCCGATGTTCTGCGCTCGCCTTTGGTGGATTTGGCGCTTGAGAAACGAAGGAGTTTTTAACCAAAAGCACATGCCGATGGCCAGCAAGCTAGAATGGCTCGCGAAGTACGACGTGGAGGTAAAGGCCGCGTTCGAGAAACGTTTAAATCCTGAGATTGGGCGGGCGCTGCCAACGATCGCACATATAGGCTGGACGAAGCCGGCGAGCAAATGGCTGAAGCTTAATGTGGATGGCAGTTGCAATAAGATTGGCATGGCAGGCTGCGGAGGTCTGATCAGAGACGAGCATGGAAACTGGCAGCGGGGCTTTACGGCAAACATTGGTCGGTGCCAACCGTTGGAGGCAGAGGCTTGGGGGATATACCATGAGATTCACGTTGCAAAAGAATGTGGGGTGTCCAACCTCGTGGTTGAATGCGACTCTAAAAGCCTGATCGACAAGCTAGGCAGGGCTAATGGAGGCGACGAAGCCGAGTGCAATGTTATCTGGAGATGCTTAAATTTGATCACCATCTTCCAGAAGGTTGAGTTTGTGCATGTGTTAAGAGAAGGTAACCAAGTAGCAGACCATCTGGCCAAGGCGGCGCTTGACCATCATATTGGTTTTCGAGTCATCGATGAAGCGCCTCCGAGTGTTGATACCTTAGTTAGGCAAGATAAACTGGGAGCATGATGAACAATATTTATGTTATTATTTTTAATAAACTTTGTTAGAATTAGTAAGAAAATATTTACTTAATTTTGTATTTTCTCTTATTTTAATAAGCATTGTTAGATTAAAGTTTGTGTTTTATTATCATCATCATCATCATCATCATCATCATCATCATCATCATCATCATCATCATCATCATCATCATCATCATCATTATGTATGTTATACGTTGTTTGCTTCCATCCCCAAATAAAAGCCGAGAATAGCAGCACTCCAGACTCAGACGCGAACACCACAACAATACCGCGAAAGATGGAACACCGAGAACGACGCGGACAACACAAACGGTAGAGGCGCTGGTCTTGTGAACGTCCGATTGTTCGGAAGCTTCAATGGTAGTTCTTGATTCAAAGCATTCTGCGGAAGCTCGTACCACAACTTGGAGCGAAATCTCGTGAAAGAATCGAAGGTCCGGAACAGTATAAAAGGGGGCAAAATCGAAGAGAGGGGATCATCATTTTTCATCACCGAAATATATAACCAATCTCACATCAAACTCTATATCAAAAAGCCGTTCGTAGATTTCCGGTCGGCTATAATTTCTGCTCACGGAACTTAGTCTTCTGCGCGAGTGTCCAGTCGGCGGTCCTGTGCATCGTAAATTGGTTTTGGCAGCAGCAATTGATTTTAGCATTTTGCAATATCCAGGTTCTAGAATTCATTGGCTCTTGTTATTTTATTTTATGAGATTAAGATTTACAATTTGGAGTTGTCTACCTAGGGAATAGTGAGGTTGTTTCAACTTGGCAGCTTCTGGTTTTATTTCCCCTTTTCCTTAATTGCCTTGCTTCCTGATTTTCAATTGGTGTTTGTTAATCACAAAGAAGATTAGACTTCCTTTAATGACAATTATGTTGAATTAGGCTTGTTGCTAAGTACTGTTTATTTAAGTTGCTTATTACAGAGCTTAAAGATTAAGTATGCTTGTTAATTGCAATGATCAATTATAACGCCTAGCTGGTAGCTTTGATTGTGTTTTTGCCAAGTCTAAAATAGGTTAAAAGGGACTTGTAGTTGATTCAAGTTGCATGCCATTTCTTTTTGTTCCTCAGTTTTCGATTATTTATTTTCTTTTAAGTTCTTGAGAATAACATAAATATTTGTCTGGAATGAGTTCTAATTTAACTGCTTTATCTTGATTTATTATTTAATTGTTTAGTTTTTCCTTCTCTTTAATTCATAGTCTCTCTTCGTATTACTTTACCAAATTTCAAATTGTGAGTACTGCTTTTAATACTGCATTTTCCAACTCTTAGCTCTTGAAGCATTGATTTTAATTGTTTTGCACTTGAATTGTTTTGCACTTGAATTGATTCGTACGATTGATTTTTGTTTCTAGCACGTTAAATTATCGAGTTAATTAACTTTTAAGATTATAAATTGCATATTATCAATTCCTCTTGGGTTCGACCCTTGCTATTGCACCATATTACTACAGTGATTCATGCACTTGCGAGGACATTATATTAAAATTGTCCAACAACGTTTCCCAGGCGCATGTAATCTTACGAGCTCAACCCTCCTACCTGATGTAAAAAAAAAAAAAAAAGCTAGCTTGTATAAAGTTCTTTATATATATATATATATATATATATATATATATATATATATATATATATATATATATATATATAAGAGCAAATACCAATTTTGGTCTCATGAGTATTAACAAAATAACAATTTTGGTCCACATGTTTAATTTCTATCAATTTTCATTCACAATTATTATTTTAGTACCAATTTTCATCCACAACTATTGTTTTAGTGCCAAAATTCATCACGTCGATCACTCATTCGTTTAAGATATGCCAAAATATGAAATTATTAAAGATATTTTCGTTATTTTCAAATTAAGATCACAATTTGAACATGAATAAATGGATTTAAGCCCTAAGATTAATATCAATTCGCAATTCTCTTCCTCAAATTAAGGTAGGATGAGGAGAAGAATTGTGAATTATGATCGATCTTAGAGCTTAAATCCCTTTATTAATACTCAAATTGGAATCTTAAGTTAAAAAAGGATGAAAATACCCTTAAAATTTTTAAATTTCGACATGTCTTAAACGGAAGGGTTACTAACATGATGAATTTTAGCACTAAAATAATAGTCGTGGATGAAAATTGGTACTAAAACAATAGTCATGGATGAAAATTGGTAGGAATTAAATATGTAGACCAAAATTGTCATTTTGCTAATATTCGTGGGACTAAAATTGGTATTTGCTCATATATAAGATGGATGGATCAGAGGCAAAAGATCGAGATGGCCAGATGGGTGGGGGATGTTCAATTCATTCACAACCACCAGATGCCTAATGTGTAATACAAAATATTAAGCTTGAATTCATTAAATTATAATTTTCCTATCTACTTCAGTATTATAAGTTTCAATGACAAAAGAACAATATATATAATAATAATGAGAGAAAATGGTCAAATAAACCCTTAAATTTTATCTGAAAATTCAATTAAGTGATTGAACTTCATCTTTTAATATGTTATATTAAGGCAATGAAGTTTAAAAACCGGTAAATGACCTGCTATTACATGTCATTAAGGTTCCGACGTCAATTTTATCATCTTCGACGATAATCCGATAGCCGACGATGGCTGAACCGTCACCGGAGATGATAGAATTTATGTCGAAACCCTAATGACCTGTAATAGTAGGTTATTATCGATTTTTAGACTTCATTGCCTCAATATAGCATATTAAATGGTGTAATTGAACTTTTTAAAAGTTTAGAGGATAATTTTCAAAAAAAAAAAAAAAAAAAAGTTTAGAGGGCAAGTTAACTTTTCAAATAAAGTTTAGGACTTATTTGAGTTTTTCCCGATCAAAACGTTATCCCAAAAGAAAAGCCAAAGCACAGTTGTTATACAGTGGACCATGATCGTCGAATGAAACTGTAGTAAAATTAAAAAGATACTTTAATGTTATTATAATGAAATTAGTGTATGTAGGAAATGATTCGATTACATAGGGAGCACCTCAAAGTTCTAAAATGCACACAAAATAAAGAAAGAAAAGAAGAAGAAAGTGGAATCCATGCCAGAAGACCAGAATCAATCACAATAAGGCCGGCCCGGCCGGCCTACTGATGATTTCTTAAATTGTTGACCTCATCCTTAACAAGAAACACATCACTGAGGGCCATCTTGCCCCGCAGGCAAGCCTTCAATAATTTCAAAGCCTGAAATCAATAGAAAAAACACCACTGCATCAATTAAACTCTACTCCTAGATCATGCAATGTATGGAAGGAAGGCATCCATGACTTTAAACTCACTCTATTAACTTTATTGTGGGGAATGAAGTGAAAATCTATGTATTGACGGATGCTTCCCTTCCGTCTTAAACGGCTAGAGAAATTTTACTTCTATCCAATAATGATGCATGTTAACAATGAAAGACATCACGACTCAAGAATAAGATTTTGGTGAACTAATTGGCCGGATACTCTAGTAGTTATGTCATCTCTACACAATATATGGCAAGGAAGGAAACTATATACCTGCTTTTTCACTCTTTTCATAGTAGATGGATGGGTAAATGAGTTAAAAGTATGTAGGTGGCTTTGAAAAATAAATACACTTCCTTACCTCTTCAACACCAAACTCGACAACTTTTCCGTTGAGCTTAGCAGGATGTTCAGCACTCCACATATTCAACACAGGGATGCAGGATACCATAGACAACGGTGTAATACACAAATCATCAGTTACCATATACCGTGCCAATCCCTTAACATAACTTTTTTCATCATCTGAAATACAAGATTCCACACTTTCCTTCATTGGGTTGCGGCAAGAAGGACAAGGATAGCCACACTCATCTGTAAAATAACGGTCATAGCTGTTTGTACAACCATATAACTTTTTGGGGTAAGCAGAACCAGAATTATTGGACCACAAAAGTGGAACACTACAAACCACCTTTGCCACATCAGGGTTCAACAATGTGTCCTTTATTTTATTAGGCAGCATATAATCTTTAGCAAGATTTTTATAACTCTGGTATACATTTCCAATACAGCCCACCATGGATTTCTCTGGGACACTAGTGGTAAGCTTCTTAATAACATTTCCAAGTGGGAGTAAAAGGAGATGGCAAAGGAAATCAACAAAGTCTTTTCTGGCTTCAGCAAAGAGAACTTTATCAGCTCTGGTATCAACAAGAAGCTTCAGAGCAATACCCTTTCCTGTCAAAGATTCAGTAGTAAAGAAAGGTTGTGAAATATTGAAAAATCCAAGAATACCTAATAAAGAGTTCCCAATTTGTTCAACACTGTTAAGCTATTCTGAATTATTTAATTTCTTGAGTTAAATTTACTAGTCCATGGATAAAATGAGGCAGTGGCTACACATTATTGTATCCCAATAAGAAGAATTAGTATGAGTAGTAGTTTTGATGTTAACATCAGTGGATATAACATCTACAAAGATCTATTGCACTTGTATGTGAGCAATATTAACATCATTCATGCTGCTTGGATCAAGACTATTAAAAACATCGACTTCCAGATATTATATGCAAACAGCCTCTCTTACCCGTTGCAGGTGTTCCACCTACAGTAAATGGCCATTGCTTCCGCAGAAACACATCAGTGAGAACTTCCTTTGACTTCAGAGATGCCTCCAAAAATTCCAGCTCCTAATTCATAAGAAAAGGAAAATTTTACACTTTCTTAAGATCACATGATGAGAAAATTAAATAGTTATTACTCTGAATAGGTGGCTAGAGCAATGAGAAACACCTGCCCTTATTTTATGTTACATCTAATTGCATATTTTGTTTTGCTTCATATATGCTTACTGCAATGACATAGCTTGACAGACTTATATTCTAGCTCAAGCCCAAAACAAGATAACAGTACAATTCATTCACAATGGTTACAGCCTCCTCAATGATTCAGTCAGTGAACCACAACAGGAAGAGGAATAACACAACATAACACTAGATTGACTCAATCGCTCTCTACTAAAGGCTAAAGTAAAAGCAGATTTCCTTACCACATCAGGAATCGTAAACTCAACCACCCTCTCTTCAAGGGCATCAAACTTTGAGGCCTTGAACTTTTTCAGCACTGAGATTCCTGTGATTGCTGACATTGGTGTGGTAGAAAGATCATCAGTGACCATGTAGGTCACTAAGCCTTGAACATATCCTCTTGCACAGACATTACCATAACCAACATATGTGATTTCCTTAGTCATTGACGTCCCACAGAAACTGTAACGTGGGCAATTTTCCCCATACTTAATAGACACAATTCGGTGACTCTGGCAAGTATAGAAATTTCTAGCTGATATTTTATCTTTCCTTGTTGTCAGGACTTGGATCTTGCTTTCATTTGACAGCATATAAGCTCCATCTATGTTCTCAATACTGTGGTATATGTTCCCAATGGAACCAATCATAGCTTCACTAGAAAGGAGATTAGTAATAGTGCCAAGTGGCATAGAGAGTAGGCTCAAGAGGAAATCTACAAAGTCATTCTCAGCTTCAGCAAACAGAACTCTATGGCACTTGGGGTCAACAAGCAGGTTCAAACTAAATTTAACGGTCCCCATAACTGAAAAATAAAGCAAAAATTCAAATTAGATTATGTTATCCACTTCCATCTGTGAAGATAGTAATCACAAACAGAAGTGGTAGATAAATGCATTTCTTTAGGTAAACTCTTTGGAAATGATTGTCCTCACTGGTTGAAAGTTGAAACTAAGGAAAAAGTCTCATTCTCCAGAAAAGCAAATGTGATAAGGCTTTTGAAAGTGTGCAACAAAACAAATAGCAATATTGTTCACAATAAAAACAAACATTGCATGTAAAGCCTCATCAGCCACTTGGCATTAAAATTAAACCATTTACAAGTGCTAATCACTCTGTTGTAATTAAGGTCCCCTTATAGAGGGATAGTTAATGCAAATTATTAAACTATTAAAATATCCGAAGATAGTACAAAAATCAAGCATTCCTAGAGTCATCACAATTCACAACCAGTCAACCCAAATAAAAGGAGGTTAACAAATCTATGGACATTAATATTCTTCATCATCTAAATAAGAAATTCATGATTCTTTACAAGGTAGTATCTGTTCTATACTTTCTCAATCTTTTTCAACCTAAATTCATGATTCTTTACAATGTATTATCTGTTCTATACTTTCTCAACCTTTTTCAACCTAAATCCATGATTTTTTACAGGATAGTATCTATTCTATACTTTCTCAATCTTTTTCAACCTAAAGAATCAATGTCCGCCCCTACCACCGGATTCGATCCTCTGACCACCCACCCATTTAAAATAGTAACAGAAGAAACTTCACAGTATTTACTGCTCTATAATTCCCCCACCCCTCAAAAAAAAAAAAAAAAAAAAAAAAAAAACCTTTAAACCCTAAACCCTGTGAATAAAGCATACGCAATTCTTCTTCACATGAAAAATGCTCATATGTATAAACACGCAAGTCTAGATATTGCAGATAAAGCATACGTATACACAATGAATTCGCGCGACGCTTAGAAATTAACTAGTAAGGAAAATAAAGAAGGTAAGAGAGGATTGGTAGTGAATACAGTAGAAGTAGTTGTGTTGTATACGTAATATGTTGGTTGCTCAATCAAACAATCCCCGTCCAGAAACACTGTCGCCGAAAATGCTCTTTAATCCGTCTCTCAGGGCACAACTCTTTTGCGGTTGCCTCTACAGAATGTATAAATATAGATACAAGTGTGTATACCAAACGAAACTGGCGGGAGATGATCGGATGGTAGCAACTCGCAAGACGTGATTACGTGAACAAGTGGGAAGGGGCAAAACTGACAACAATGAAATGTTTTAAAAGAATAAATAAATAAATAAGAACGTGCAGGTTTCAAAAAAAAAAATAATAATAATAAGAACGTGCTTTTACTTTTGTTATACTCTGTACCTTAGTAATTTGAAACCAAAGACTTTGTAGTTCATGGGTACAAAGTTATTTTCTTATATAAAAAGTGGTGAGTTTAAATCGGAGGTTATTATAATGACATTTGATGTAGTAGCTTGTATATGTAGGTTCTTTTTCTTATATAAAAAAAATGATATTTAGGGTGGTCTCTACTAGTCTACTCTCTAGTTGGACAAACACTATTAAAATCTTAAGTATATTAAAATATTTTTTAAAAAAAAAATTATAGTTGTAAAATTTATATCATATTAAAAGTATAATTGATAATTTGAATAATAATTATGGTATGATTGATAGTATTGAAGTAAGATTTTTATATATGATAAATTACTAAATATAATTATGGCAACATTTAATTAAAATCTAAATGAAATCAAATTTATTTCTTTTTTTTTTTAGCACAAACTTATTTCTTATATTATTCCAATATATATAATATATACATATATTATTACCATTGAAAAATATAAGAAAAGATATTGTGTATGCATGTGCATGACAATAATAATGGAAAAAGATAATAGGAAGTTATAAAGGTGAAATTATTTTTATCCAAAAAAATTGTATAGTACAACTCTTACCTAAAGATAATAGGAAAAAGTGTCAAATTGCCCCCCTAAGTCGAATGGATAGTGCAATTGGGTCCCTTAAGTGAAAAAAGCTTCATTCAAGTCCCCTAAACCTGTAAAATTGTTCAATTAAGTCCAAGTTGACTTGTTTATCAGGTTAAATGCATACGGTGTTGACACGTGTCCTTATTTTATTTTTTTATTAAAAATATTATTTATTATAAATTAATTAAAATAATAATAATAATAATAATAACTAAAAAATTAAAAAAATTAAAAAAATTAAAAAAAAAAAAACAACCACTGGTTGTCCACACCGGACAACTGGTGGCTGTCTTCCTTCTTTAAGGACAGTCGTGGCCGTCTGGCCACGACTGTTTAAGGAAGACGGCTATGGTTGTCTTCTAGATCTAGGCGAGGACTACGGCCTTCGTCGCCGCCCTCGTTCTAGACGGAGGGGACTGGAACGGCCGTCTTCCTTAGACGGTTGTGGCTGGACGGCCACGTCTGTTTTTTTTTTTTTTTTTTTTTTTTTTTTTTATAATTATTTTTAATTATTATTATTTTAATTCATTTATAATAAATAATATTTTTAATAAAAAAATAAAATAAAGACACGTGTCAACACCGTATGCATTTAACTTGATAAACAAGTCAACTTGGACTTAATTGAACAATTTTACAGGTTTAGGGGACCTGAATGGAGTTTTTTTCACTTAGGGGGCCCAATTGCACTATCCACTCGACTTAGGGAGCCAATTTGACACTTTTTCCAAGATAATAAGAAGTTATAACGGTGAAACTATTTCTAGAAAATGACTCATTTTTTAGTTTTCTAGTGTTTAGCGAAAGGTCATAAAATTATCTTATTTTGTTTGGATGAAAGTTAATAAAATTTATATTTTTTTATTTGGTTCATTTTCCTAAAAATGAACATATTATTTGTTATATAATAAATGAACATATCATTTGTTATATAATAATAATAATAATAATAATAATAATAATAATAATAATAATAATAATAATAATAATAATAATTGATGAGGAATATTTCCTTGTTTGACCTCCCTATACGGCTATATTTGTAGTCGGGTCGGTGTCAAACGATTCTGTCAATCGGTCAAAGTAAACTCGTCCATGCTTGGGCCTATAAAATGGACCTTAACCCTCTATTTAAGGGTTCATTCCCCTCTTCACTTGTCTCTCTCTAAACACTCTCAACTCTCCCTAAAAGATGAATAAAACTTGCCATTCTTCATTTTCTCACGACTGCTCTATTGTTCATGCATACGGTAATTAACCGTATCATTTTTATGTTCCTACAATCAAAGAGAAAGCTATAGATCATAGAGGTTCTAGAAATTGAGGTGGGCTTGAACCAAGGTGCTCAAACTGCCAGGCCAGTGCCGCGACCACTGGTCCACTGCACCACCCTATTAGTTGGCTCACTTTCTCTGTTTATTCCACTCCTCGCCGCCGCCTCTACTGACCGGGACGCCAGCATCGTCGTCGTCCGCAATGCAGTGGATATGGAGAGAAGCAGAAGTGACCGGAGATCCCATCCCCCGCGTCGTTGATTTAGTTCGCCAAAAGGGGCAGCCTCGTTGTTGCTTCATCAATCAGCCGTCGGGGAAGCGCCGTCACCAAACGCCATAAAAATGGGGAAAATTATAAAGAAGCCCAGAAATGTAACTCCTCCTCCTCATAGGGGTTTTTGACTGAAATAGGAATGGGGCTAGGGTGATTGACAAGAATAGGAATGAATTTTTTTTTTTTTGACAAAAAGGGAAAAATCGAGTTTGGGAAACGCGGTTGGGCTGAAAACCGCATTTCCCAAACTCGGTTTTATCTAATGCCAACGTCAACTACAACTGCATTTTCCAAATGCGACTGTAGTATAATATACCACAACCGCATTTCCCAAATGCGGTTGTAGTATAAAGCAAATCCGCATTTGGGAAATGCGTTTCTCGTATTATACGAAAAAAATGCATTTTCCAAATGCGGATTTGCTACTGACGGGTCGCGTCAGTCGGTCATTGCTTGATAAAAAAAGAACAAAAAATATGACTGACGTGACTAGCACATCAAGCAGTGACAGGTCACGTCATTCTTGATTTCTCTTACGTTTGGTGATAGGGGAATTCTTGGGAATTCTTGTGTGGTGGAATCTATTGTGGTGTGAATTCTATGTGCCTCCTATGTCCTTATATATATCTAAGAGTCCTAATTAGGGTCTGAATGGTATGGGCTTACTAATTCTATTTCTTATAGGACTAAGGGTTTGGTTTAGGGATAAGGGTCCATGGTCTATGGTGGACCCTTCCTAATTAATTAAGGGAATTTAATTCTCTTTTAAGGGTAAATAATTAAATAATTGGTTTGGGTTAGAGGCCGTAACACGGGGTGTTACAGTAACCAACCCACTGGGTTGCCTTCTCACCGGAGAAGGCGAGGGGTTTAACTTTTTTTTTAAAAAAAAAAATTAATAATTTGATTGTAAAAAAATATATATATAATAAATATTAGTCTTTGACCACATTAAATGATGGTGGTGCAAATAACACTTTTTAATTAGCACCACCTATAAAGTGGTTTGACCTATTAAATAGGTAGTGCAAATAGTAAAATAGGTGGTGTAAATTGACTTTCCCCGAATATCACGACCACGATCAACCGATCCAATGATCAATGCCTTTACTCGGCCGGTTAGATTAACATTGAGGATTCCATGCACTCCACTGATGGTTGATCACCGAGCTCTAACGATTGTTTCCCGATCTAAACTTCGTGCAACCGGGCCTGAGATGATTTCCCCCGAGCATATTTTCGAACATATCTCCAAAACCATCGCATGCCAACCGTAGTATGACCGGCATCTCGTCGTTTATAAAGCTCATGCAATGTCCCCTCCTCCTTCCGGTCGACCTCCCGACCACCACCAGATAGATAACGATGGTCAAACTCCCTGCACTACTTTTGATCAATGTTCCCATCACCAAGCAACTACAGCGTTTGGAAATTTAATCTTGAAGCGTCATCGTTCATCTTTGTCCCTTATGGTCTACCACCATATGATAATTAAGGAAGGGGGTATGCGTATATGAATTTACATGAAGAAACACGTGTTACTTCAAAGAAGACCAGCCCACGTATGAAGATTGATCTCGGTGGTGGTTCCCGTCGGATAATTGCTACGCTCGGGGACTCTGACTTTGAGATTGGAATTGCAAATGCCCGTCTATTATGAGTTTCTGGGGTTCGTACGCAGCTCGCACTACGGATGATTATATATGTGGTCGGATTCGACAACACGTACATGTCATTTCTTCCTAACACTGTCGGGTCTCAACCTTATTGTTTGTTCCTGGTCAGATTTAATTATCTGAGCTTCCCCAGCTTATCCAATGGCCAATTTCTTGCCGTTCAGCCTCACCGAGCAGCACCACAACATGTGAGCTCCAACTTTGCCCCGATTTTGTCGTTTAGAGATTTACCGAGCACATCTAGCTCGGAGCATTCTGATTGCTAAGGATTTGGCAGATATATATGTTGTGTCTATATACTTGTACTAGTAGTTGCACCCGTGCGATGGATGCACGGCCATATGTATAGTTTATGTAATATACAGTATGTACTAAAACTTAAGAAATGTAATAAATTAAAAATCCCCACAAAATTGAAAATTGATTAAATATTGTTGAAGAATTCTTTGTACACAACATTTGTTGTCTTACTAAGACATGTTACATCTTCTCCGCAAATTAATATTTTTAAACCCCTCGAGTTACTGACTCTTGAAACAGCTACATACATTTGGCCATGGTTAAAGACTGGTTTTTTTTAAAAACAATCCCACTTTTGAGAGCGTTTGTCCTTGACTTTTGTTTATTGTCATGGCATAGGATAGCATCAAAGGAAATTGCTTTCATTGGAATTTGAAAGGCAATCTTGGATCTGACGGTGTAAGTGACATTCTTGGAATCAAAATTGTAGTACCTGCATTTGTACCGCCCATTATCTTTG